TTAACTCCCTGCCAATTTCCTTCTATTGTATTTGTGTGGCAGTTATCAGCGTAATTAACAAATTCTTTGAATGATTAACAGTTTTATACTCGGCAAAATACTCTTTAAGTCTAGAATAACTAGTGTAAAAATCACTGTATATAATAGAATCCTTATGTACATACACCTCGTCAATAATTCATTTAAAGCAGTGGATTTTCTATCTCTGACGGGTTTTTAGTAACTTTTCTTTCTAGTGTTCTTTCAACCATATAAAAGACACAAACACCTCCAACATGATGATATTTTACTTTACCAAACTTGCTCTCGTCTATTTCTATTACAATCCCTGATCCTCCCATTTTTCCTTTAACTTCATATCTTTTATTTTCGATGCTTAGAATTGTCTTTCGAATAACTTTTCTTTGTATCTTTGTCCCAATTCCAAAAACTCTCCAACCACAATCTCTTTAGATTCAGCAGACCAAAGTTTAATTATCAACAAAACATTTATCAACGTCAATTTTTTATGATAAAAAGGATATTTTCTAATAATGAAATTTTTTTTCTATATTTTAACCATATACATCGATATCTCTTGCTCTTATATAACATGCTTTTTGAACTACGCCTATACATATTTTAGGCAAAGCTTTGATGTATAGCTGATTTTGGAGCTTGGGATCCAGATTGACCAAAAAAGTGGGTCCTAAAATTTTTTATTTTCTACTTAAAAAATGAAATTTAGAATATTGAAGAACAGTGAAAAATATTTAATCATCCAAACTTTGGTTTAATAAAAGCTTAAATAGCTATATAAAAAATTAATTTTGTAATTTTTTATCAACATAAATCGTACTAAGTAAGGATTTATATGATTTCTGGTTCTGCATCTATACGGTACATCATTTTTTAGAGCAGACCAGCATCCTTCTATAGTATTGGTGTGGACACCGATATTTGTGTCTTTAAAATACTTAAAATGGTTTACTGTAGAATGCTGGACACCAATCTCTTCTAAATTAGTGTAACCTTTACAATTACTATATATTATTAAAAATTTGGTGCTACACTTCTACTTAAATAATATCTTAAAGTTGATTTCGTTCTATCGCTCAGTTAAAATAACAAAATTCCTTTTTTGTTTGCTCTTTCAACAAGTCTGCAAATCCATACACCTTCTATCGGATGGATGGCCTTTATTGTATTTTCTTTTACCTATTTTTGACTTACCAATTTCAATAATCTTGTTTTTAGATTCAATGTAATAAATGTTTGAATAAAATTTAATAATTAATCGTTCAAGAACCTTCTTTAAAACTCTATAGACACACTTTGTTGACATTTGTAAAATAAATGATATTTAAAACGTATGGGCCTTAGTTAACCACCGTTCAAATAACTTTTAATAAAATAATTTTATAAATTTTTATATTATCAAAAAAAGTGCCCTTCCAAACTAAGATTATTTTCTATAGACAGGACAAAGTTTATTACAACATCTAACAATGTCGAACTGTCTTTCTTTTTGTATAGAAGCATATCCTATGCAGCTTTAAAAACAGTTCTATAAATATTTCTATATTTATCTAAAATATTTTTATCTAATTCTTTTCTTCTAAATCTTCTGAATTTTATTTTTTGGGGTAAAAAA